AATTACAATAATATTAAAATAAAATCCATAAGTCTACTTCTAAAAAAAAAAAAATAGTCATATATAAGAAATGAACATATACATAGTTGTAAATGAACATTTGAAACTACAAAGTTGCAAATTTTCTAGCTTTCCTTCTATTTGCTCTTGATTCAGTGTTTTCTTCAAATAACATCAGTTCTGCTGTGTATTGGAGCCTTAGATTTCTAATTTGTTCCACCTGTTGAACAAAATGAATTGTCAAATTTTAATTAAACAATCTTTACTGTTTCATAAATGAATATTATATCTTAAATAATTGATCATTTATAACTCTTACATTGTTTGGTTTTAAATCACAAATCCAGCTCTCATTAGGATCAGCAGTGAAGGTTTCCATATGCTTCATAATGTAAACTCCACAGTTTGTATAGTCATTGTTGCTACGCCATTTCATCTTTTCCAAAACAACTGTGTAGTCTTCAATTCTTTTTGCATCTTGATATCCAAGGTGTTTCATGTACTCTGCCAATCCTTTTAACTGATAGAAAAAAGAGTAAAAATTGTTTAGAAGTTTGTATTGTGATGAAGACATGAACAATTAATAAAATATAATTGATCATGTAGTCAACTATAAATGAACATATTATCTCACCATCATTTTTGGTTGTTCTTCATATTTTGCTTGGACTGATACCTTTTTTGGTAGTTTTCTATTGTCAATTATATGAATTTTGTCTTCTATATGATTGACGCACAACAGAAAAAAATGTTGAGAAGTTGATACTGGGAAGAAGACCTGAACAAATTATATAATGTTATTGGACAATATATTGAAGGTAATTGAACATTTGTATTAAACAAGAATTAATACCTGTTTATATCCAACAATGCTGTCAATTTTATTCAACTTCAGTTCATTGTCAATTCTTTCTATGAAGGCATTAATTCTTGTCTTCATTGATGATCCTTCTTGACAAACTCTATTTGTGCACATAATGTGCTGTTGAAATACAAACAAACATATAGAAGTTAAATGAATTTTTAGCAATTATTTATCATAGGAAAATAGAATCAATAATATAAAAAAAGAAGAAAGACTAACATGAAGCACTGTTGAGAAATAAATCTTGTTTCTCGGCTTTTTATGATTAAGAAACCTTGCCCATCCATCTATGACACAATTTGTCACTTCAACATCATCTCCAAGAGTTTTCATTTCATTTCTATTGATGAGATTCAAGCCATCATAGTATAAGAGTGCACTGCATTATGAACATTTAATAATATGAATGTGAACATATTTTTATAAAAGATATTAAACCTTAAGTTTAATTAGTGTAAGTAATTACCTTTCATCTTTTCCACCAAGAGCAAAGTCTACTGCAATTTGGTTCATGGCTTTCTCATCTTTAAACAGATCCTTGTACTTGACCAAGTAAGGAGATCGGAAAGCAGGAGGAATTGTTTTCTTTTCGCGTTTTGGTCTTGTTGTTCAATATAAAATATTGTTAAATTAAGAAAATTATGAGGAACATAAATGAACATTTGAGTGTATATAAATAAATTTGAAATTATACCTTTCAACCTTTTCCTTTTCAGTTTTTTTCTTCTTTTCTGCAATTGACTTTTTCTTATCATCATTCCTGGTCATATTACATAACACAAATGTACATTTAGGTATATGAAAATGTTCATTATTATTTTTGAACATTTACTTAATATAAATAATGTACCTTTTTGTGACTTTTGAGGATGAAGCAACAATCTTCTTGTTTTCACTGAAAAGTGAAACAATGTCAGTACATATTAATAAAATAAAAGCTTCTTATGTAACACCCTGAATCATTTTCAATTCATAAAATGAAAGATATTGATTTAACATAAACCTATTGATTTAACATAAACCATACATTCATATTACATATTCAACAAAATAATGTTCACACATACAATAGTTTGAGAAACACCAGTTTCAAGTTACAACACGATAGTAACATAAGTTAAATTGTTCCATCTAGATATTTTATCCTACACCATTACATAACCCTAATAGTAAGACATGTCTTCAGGATTTTACCCCTCCACTTTTTCATCATTTTTTGTTTTTTCAAAAACATCTTCCTTGTTTTGTTTTCCACCTCCAACTGTGTTTTTTGGATCATCACTTTTTTCACCACCATCTGACCTAGGGTCAGCATCAACCACTGAACCAGATCCTGCATCTAAGAAAAAATTTAATTAGATATAATATAATTTCTTTGTAAATGAACATTTGAGTATTTATAATTGAACATTATACCTGTTCTAGGCAATCCTTCATTATCTGACCTAGTGTCAGCATCAAATTTTGAACCAGTTGCTGCGTCTAACAAAATAATACAATTAATAATGAATATTTCTTGTTTGTAAATGAACATTTTACACTTTTTAATTGAACATTATACCAGTTCTAGAAAATTCTTCAATTCTTTGTTCTGAAGCTGCTGAAGTTTTACCCACATCCTTTTCTCCAGCTGTATTATAAATCATCATTTTGGAGATACACTAAGTTAATAGTATTTACACATAATAATTAGAAATGAACATTTCTACTTAAGTTTATGTACATTATTATTAAATATATGAACATATTACCATTTGTTGAAATTATTGGTTGTTCAATTATATCACCAAGTGTTGAAAAGGTGGGCCCTGTTTCTGTTTAGGACAATTTAGACCACAAATTTAGAATTTTTCATATAAAAATTAGGATATATAGTCTCTTTTAGTTAGAATTTACCAATGGCTGGAGAAGGTGGAGTCAACCCCAAGCTGAAAGCTTTTCTGATGTCATATTCTTGTTCTTTTTCCTTTCCCTTTTTGGTTAATTTCTTCCCAGTCATTTGCTTCTCAGTTGTTTGCTTTTCAGACCCTTGCATCAGATTCTTCTCAGCTTGTGCAAGTGCATTTAGGAAATCCTCACTGCCAAAGAATTCTTCATCTTGGCTTAGAATTGATGGTTCCCTAGCTACCACCTTTCCTAAAACTTCATCAACTTTTTTCACCAAGTCATTTCCAGGGAAGATATCCTTTGCCTTCACCAATTTTGAAGAAAGCTTTGACAGGTTTGAACAAGTTGTTTTTTACCAGGGAAACAAAATCATCCATAAAAACCTATATGAATGAATATTAAAAATTATGCAGTTGAACATTTCAGATTATACAAATGAACATTTATGTTAACAAAAGTGATCATTTTATAACCTTAGGACTTTCTTCAACTTCTGCAGCAATCCTTGGTAGAATTTTCCCTCTCCCAAATCCCAATTCTAATTCAATCTTCAACCTCTCAAGAACCATGTCTCTATTCCATGCAGATATGATAGGAATTGTTCTTGGAGGCCTTTTGTCTAACCTCTGAACTCTATCAAAATAGAACAACTACAAGAAAAAAGAAAACATGGAACAGAACATAAACAATAAAAAAAAGTGCATTTATTTAAATTTAAATGAACATCTTGTATCTAAGAATATACCATCAGAAATTGAAGAGGGCCTTTGTAGAACCCCTTGCCTTGCTGCTTTCTCCAATCAACATGACATTTGATAAGTGAGTCATATACAAACTGACACCAGTTCAAATTTTTTATGTTTTCTTTGTCCATCATAGAATAAAGAAATTTGAAATGGCATTGATTGTTTGATACACATTTCATCAAGCAGTTCACAGCCACTGCTAAAAAGTTAGTAATGAAATGTTCACTTGGTGGTCTGTTGTTGGTGAATTTATCATTTATGTATCCATTCACAATCTGCAAACAAAATGAACAAAACATTTATACTTTTGATCATTTAATGTATTTAAAATGAACATTTAAAACTGATCATACCTGACTCACTGATGGAGTTTTTCCTGACCATGATTTTCTCCATTTCTTCAGAAATTCTGCATACTCCTCACTAATTTTATCAGACTTTGGCTCAACAATTGGAATTTCTCCTGTAGGCAAGCCATAAACTACCCTAACATCCTCTACCTCAATTTCTATTTTTTCATTCTTTGGTAGTTCAAAACACTGGCTATTTTCTTCAAAACTTCCCAATAACCAGTTACAGAACTTTTGATCAAGTTGAGGTAAACTAATGTCAAGAAGTGATCCTAACCCTATATCAATAATTTGTTGTTTTTGGGTAGGTGTCATCTTTTTTATCCATGCAATGAACTTCACATGTCCTCCTCTCTTTGAAGATTTCTCTTCCTCAAATTCATCTTCCTGAATTTCCTCAACTTCATCAGTTTCTATTGCTTGAACCATTTCAGTTTTCATTTTCTTTTTTCTCCTACCTTCAATCTTTCCTTCATCATACAGTACCATCTTTTGCTCCTCCTTTTCAACCTTTGCCTTCACTGAATTCCCTTTCTTTGCCTGTTTCTTCCTTGGCTTTACTTCTTCCTCTTCCTCCTCTTCCTCCACCTCATAATCATCCTCACTGACAGGCTCTTCTTCTGCTCTATAAACTGACTCTTCACTATCATCATCACTGTCAGTAGAACTTTCATCAGTAGGATCTTGAGAGGGTTCATCTGATGGTACTTCTTGTATTTTTTTTCTCTTTCCAGCATTTCTCTTGGCAGGACTGACATCTGAAAATTAAATATATAATTTTGTTTAAGTATTGAAAATGTACAGTAAGCAAATGATAAAATGAACAAAATTGTTTTCTCAAATGATCATTCTATATATAGAAATTGAACATTTATAATATATCATTATATACCTGCTTTTCTTTTGCCAGCAACCTTAGAAGTTTTCTTCACTTCTTCTAGAGTTTTCTTTTTCCCACCTATATATTGAAATTGAACATTAATGATATACCATCATAAATGATCATTCTATACATTAAGATTGAACATTTACCCTTTTTGCCTTGGTCTGGAGGATATTCAGCAGGAGCACCTGCCATTTTTTTTTATTGGAGTAGGTGCTGGAGGTGGTGCATCAGCTTCCTTTTGAATAGGAAAATTCCTTGTAGACATTCTTCTCTTCTGTCCTATTTTTGCGGTTTCTTTAGCAGGTTCAACATCCTTCTTCAGGCTTCCCTTTTCAGATTCATCTAACAGAACATCTATTGTTTTTAAAAAAATTTATGTTAGTATATTTGAAAGTGTAATATTTATTGTGTAACAGAAAAGTATTATGATTACCTGGCTCCTTGTAATTCTACCACTTGGCACAACAACAAGGCTTTTGTTTTTGTTTTTCCTTGCAACCATTTTGTATCTTGTTTTCATTTTGGTTGACTGATCACTTTTTTGTGATGATGGAGCTGTCTCCTCACTAAGTTTTGTGGAAACTTTATCATCATCTTGATCTAGAAGATAAGTTTCATCCTCAATTTGAACAAAATCAGGTGCAATTTGTGCTGCATATGAAATGATCAAATATAAAAGATTAAATAAACATTTATTAAATTGGATGACAAATGTTTACTATATACAATATAAATGAACATTTCAGGTAATGAATATGTACATTTTCCACTATTTACCTTTCGGATCTGTTGTCTTTGTAGACTCATCTTCCACTGTTTTCTCTTTAGGGATTTTCTCCTTTTCAGGCTCTTTTTTTCCCTCTTGTCCTTCTATGAAAATTTAATTAGTTAATATTTATATATTTTTTTAATCTTATTGAACATTCAATATTATGTAGATCCAATATGAACATTTTATGTAATAAAAATGTACATTTATAAATTTTTACCTTCTACATTTGTTGTCTTTGGAAAGACATCTTCCACAGTTTTGTCTTTAGGGCTTTTCTCTTTTTCAGTCCCTTTTTTTCCTTCTTGTACTTCTATTAAAATTTATTTAGTTAAAATTTAATTTTTTTAATCTTATTGAATATTTAATATTATGCTTTTCCAATATGAACATTTTTTGTAATAAAAATGTACATTTTAAAATTTTTACCTTTTTCCACAGTTTTCTCTTCTATTGGCCCTTTTTCTTTCTTTTTTGCTTCACCTTCAAAAGTAATAGTATTGTTAAAATTGATATTTATGACTATTAAACAAAAATATTCAATAAATATGATCATTTACCTTTCCTGATTTCCTTGCTTGCCTTTTCCATTCTTTTGAGATTTCTCATAATTCTGATTGTCGATTCTTTGTACTTTCTGTAAATGTATGATATTAACTTTGAAATATATTCATTAATTGATTAAATTAATTCAATTATTTAAATTTAAACATACTTTGGGTTTCTCTCTATGTCTAAATGTATTTCTTGCATCTTGTCCTTTAATGTTGTTATTCTTGAATCATCTTTGGGTTTTCTGATATTTCATTAAAAATATGTTTGAATTTACAATTTTGATTAGTAAATAAAAAAATGAACATATAACTTATATTACTATTGGCCATGAGCAAACTTTTTTGTACTGATTTTCAAATGAACATATAGTCTATCTAAATTGAACATTTAAGTTTTCTTACTTTTGGCCAAGACTATTCTTTACTGGATTGCTTTGCACTTTTGGTTGAACTTCTTCTTGCTTGCTGAAATCAATATTAAGAAATACTTTAAATAAAAAATGCACATAAATTGTACATAAAATATACTGTTATAAAAATGAACATTTGTTTATATAAAATTGATCATTAGTATACCTTTCATCCCTACTCTCTTTGTCAGTTGTGTTATGTGTAGCAGACACACTCTTAGTTGTTGCATTAGTAGCAGGAATGTTCTCACTTTGTTCACTTAAAAAAAACAGAATTATTTTATATAATATGATATTAAAGTATGAACTAATTTATACAATGAAGAAGATAATTAGTTATTTTGTATAAAAGCTTTTATACCTTATTGTTTGATTTGTCTCTGGTGGTCTTGATTTTGACATAACAAATTTCACTCGAACCTTTTTTTTTTCACTAAAATTTTAAGAATTACCTAATAAGTTTGGTATATATATACAATGTACAATAATTGAATGTAAAAACAATTATTTTATACATATAAACTTACTTGTTTAAAGTGTATCTTTCATAACTATTACCATATTCATTTTGTTCTATAACCTTCTTTAGAGTTAATGGTTCAGATTTCCCATCTCTAAATTGAAGCAAGTGTATCACTCTAAATGGCACATCACTACATTATAAATTAATTACATGACATTAGTTTGAATGCATATCACTGAAATGATTATTATCATATTTATATATGTGCATGATGATTTAATGAAATGTATATTTGTTATTTAAATCTCAATGACTACTCAAATGAACAAATATACATATATGATCATAATTATATCTATAAATGAACATTATGAGTATCAAATATGATCATATACAATGATGTTTCAATGAAATGTACTTTTGTTTTTAAATCTCAATAAATACTCATATGAACAAATATAAATATATGATCATAACTATATCTATAAATGAACATTATGAGTATCAAATATGATCATAACTATATCTATAAATGAACATTATGAGTATCAAATATGATCATATACAAATAACATATTAAACAAAGATAAAACCAATTTTATCAAATACAACTAGCATATTAGACATGAACATAATATATTCTGTAAATGACTAATTACCTTGGTAGTGGAGACATTGTTAAATCCGTACCAATTGACTTGTCAATATCTTTTAAAAGTTCCGGATCTACAATTGGATCATTTTGGCGGTTTTTTTTTCAATTTGTCTACTCTTGACTGAAGAGGTACATCATCATCATCGTCTCTGTTTTATTTAATAAATTGTTAATGTTTTAGTTATTTTCAGTAAAATCTTAGAACAATTACTACAATCGCAAAAAATTTTAACAAAAATTAGGTTTTACAAATAAATTCGCTCTATAATTTTCATCGCAAGAATATGAACAAATTAGGTTTTACAAAAGTTAGGGTTCATACATTTCTTCAGAAATTTTCAACAAATTACTCGTCTGTGAAGTATTTTTCTCCAAAAATCATACTACAATTGCAAAAAATTGAACAAAAATTAGGTTTCACACATAAAATCGCACTATAATTGTCATCGAAAGAAAATGAACAAAATTACTTACTCTTTAGATACATTTTGCTCCGATTTTGCAGTTTCTTCTTTCATGTTCTTCTCTGTAGTGGTTTTTTGCAAAATCGCACTACAATCGCAACAAAATGAACAAAATTAAGGTTTCACACATAAAATTGCACTACAATCTCAAAAAATGAACAAAACTAACGAAATTACTTACTCTTTTTGTTGTGATTGTTTAATTTCTTATCGAATATCAGACATTTGAAGCAATTTTGGAGTATTTTGAAGCAATTTTTCAGTGATTTAAATTGAAATTTGTTCCGATTCGTTGGGTTTGATGAGAGAGAAACTCTAGAGAAATGAAGAAGATGGTGTTTAGAGAGAGAGAATGATTTGAAATTGATTTTTTTTTTTTATTTTTTTTATGTATATATATGTGGGGTAGGGGAAGTTAGTTATGCAGTTACTGTGGTTATTGTGGGGAGTGGGTAATTATTGTGGGTTAGTGGAGGGGGTGTGGGTAGTAACTCTAAACGCTGCGTTTAGAGGGAGTGTAGGTTGGGCTACCTACACTAGGGTCTAGTGTATACCAACAGATAATTTTGGGCTTTACCAATAACGTTGTATCATCTTTATGCTCGTGCCTAGCTGTTGGTATACACTAGACCCTAGTGTAGGTAGCCCAACCTACACTCCCTCTAAACGCAGCGTTTAGAGTTACTACCCACACCCCCTCCACTAACCCACAATAATTACCCACACCCCACAATAACCACAGTAACTGCATAACTAACTTCCCCTACCCCACATATATATACATAAAAAAAATTAAAAAAAAAATCAATTTCAAATCATTCTCTCTCTCTAAACACCATCTTCTTCATTTCTCTAGAGTTTCTCTCTCATCAAACCCAACGAATCGGAACAAATTTCAATTTAAATCACTGAAAAATTGCTTCAAAATACTCCAAAATTGCTTCAAATGTCTGATATTCGAGAAGAAATTAAACAATCACAACAAAAAGAGTAAGTAATTTCGTTAGTTTTGTTCATTTTTTGAGATTGTAGTGCAATTTTATGTGTGAAACCTTAATTTTGTTCATTTTGTTGCGATTGTAGTGCGATTTTGCAAAAAAACCACTATAGAGAAGAACATGAAAGAAGAAACTGCAAAATCGGAGCAAAATGTATCTAAAGAGTAAGTAATTTTGTTCATTTTCTTTCGATGACAATTATAGTGCGATTTTTATGTGTGAAACCTAATTTTTGTTCAATTTTTTGCAATTGTAGTATGATTTTGGAGAAAAATACTTCACAGACGAGTAATTTGTTGAAAATTTCTGAAGAAATGTATGAACCCTAACTTTTGTAAAACCTAATTTGTTCATATTCTTGCGATGAAAATTATAGAGCGAATTTATTTGTAAAACCTAATTTTTGTTAAAAATTTTTGCGATTGTAGTAATTGTTCTAAGATTTTACTGAAAATAACTAAAACATTAACAATTTATTAAATAAAACAGAGACGATGATGATGATGTACCTCTTCAGTCAAGAGTAGACAAATTGAAAAAAAACCGCCAAAATGATCCAATTGTAGATCCGGAACTTTTAAAAGATATTGACAAGTCAATTGGTACGGATTTAACAATGTCTCCACTACCAAGGTAATTAGTCATTTACAGAATATATTATGTTCATGTCTAATATGCTAGTTGTATTTGATAAAATTGGTTTTATCTTTGTTTAATATGTTATTTGTATATGATCATATTTGATACTCATAATGTTCATTTATAGATATAGTTATGATCATATATTTATATTTGTTCATATGAGTATTTATTGAGATTTAAAAACAAAAGTACATTTCATTGAAACATCATTGTATATGATCATATTTGATACTCATAATGTTCATTTATAGATATAATTATGATCATATATGTATATTTGTTCATTTGAGTAGTCATTGAGATTTAAATAACAAATATACATTTCATTAAATCATCATGCACATATATAAATATGATAATAATCATTTCAGTGATATGCATTCAAACTAATGTCATGTAATTAATTTATAATGTAGTGATGTGCCATTTAGAGTGATACACTTGCTTCAATTTAGAGATGGGAAATCTGAACCATTAACTCTAAAGAAGGTTATAGAACAAAATGAATATGGTAATAGTTATGAAAGATACACTTTAAACAAGTAAGTTTATATGTATAAAATAATTGTTTTTACATTCAATTATTGTACATTGTATATATATACCAAACTTATTAGGTAATTCTTAAAATTTTAGTGAAAAAAAAAAGGTTCGAGTGAAATTTGTTATGTCAAAATCAAGACCACCAGAGACAAATCAAACAATAAGGTATAAAAGCTTTATACAAAATAACTAATTATCTTCTTCATTGTATAAATTAGTTCATACTTTAATATCATATTATATAAAATAATTCTGTTTTTTTTTAAGTGAAACAAAGTGAGAACATTCCTGCTACTAATGCAACAACTAAGAGTGTGTCTGCTACACATAACACAACTGACAAAGAGAGTAGGGAAGAAAGGTATACTAATGATCAATTTTATATAAACAAATGTTCATTTTTATAACAGTATATTTTATGTACAATTTATGTGCATTTTTTATTTAAAGTATTTCTTAATATTGATTTCAGCAAGCAAGAAGAAGTTCAACCAAAAGTGCAAAGCAATCCAGTAAAGAATAGTCTTGGCCAAAAGTAAGAAAACTTAAATGTTCAATTTAGATAGACTAATATGTTCATTTGAAAATCAGTACAAAAAAGTTTGCTCATGGCCAATAGTAATATAAGTTATATGTTCATTTTTTTATTTACTAATCAAAATTGTAAATTCAAACATATTTTTAATGAAATATCAGAAAACCCAAAGATGATTCAAGAATAACAACATTAAAGGACAAGATGCAAGAAATACATTTAGACATAGAGAGAAACCCAAAGTATGTTAAATTTAAATAATTGAATTAATTTAATCAATTAATGAATATATTTCAAAGTTAATATCATACATTTACAGAAAGTACAAAGAATCGACAATCAGAATTATGAGAAATCTCAAAAGAATGGAAAAGGCAAGCAAGGAAATCAGGAAAGGTAAATGATCATATTTATTGAATATTTTTTGTTTAATAGTCATAAATATCAATTTTAACAATACTATTACTTTTGAAAGGTGAAGCAAAAAAGAAAGAAAAAGGGCCAATAGAAGAGAAAACTGTGGAAAAAGGTAAAAATTTTAAAATGTACATTTTTATTACAAAAAATGTTCATATTGGAAAAGCATAATATTAAATATTCAATAAGATTAAAAAAATTAAATTTTAACTAAATAAATTTTAATAGAAGTACAAGAAGGAAAAAAAGGGACTGAAAAAGAGAAAGCCCTAAAGACAAAACTGTGGAAGATGTCTTTCCAAAGACAACAAAATGTAGAAGGTAAAAATTTATAAATGTACATTTTTTATTACATAAAATGTTCATATTGGATCTACATAATATTGAATGTTCAATAAGATTAAAAAAATATATAAATATTAACTAATTAATTTTCATAGAAGGACAAGAGGGAAAAAAAAGAGCCTGAAAAGGAGAAAAATCCCTAAAGAGAAAACAGTGGAAGATGAGTCTACAAAGACAACAGATCCGAAAGGTAAATAGTGGAAAAATGTACATATTCATTACCTGAAATGTTCATTTATATTGTATATAGTAAACATTTGTCATCCAATTTAATAAATGTTTATTTAATCTTTTATATTTGATCATTTCATATGCAGCACAAATTGCACCTGATTTTGTTCAACTTGAGGATGAAACTTATCTTCTAGATTCAAGATGATGATAAAGTTTCCACAAAAACTTAGTGAGGAGACAGCTCCATCATCACAAAAAAGTGATCAGTCAACCAAAATGAAAACAAGATACAAAATGGTTGCAAGGAAAAACAAAAACAAAAGCCTTGTTGTTGTGCCAAGTGGTAGAATTACAAGGAGCCAAGGTAATCATAATACTTTTCTGTTACACAATAAATATTACACTTTCAATATACTAACATAAATTTTTTTAAAAACAATAGATGTTCTGTTAGATGAATCTGAAAAGGGAAGCCTGAAGAAGGATGTTGAACCTGCTAAAGAAACCGCAAAAAATAGGACAGAAGAGAAGAATGTCTACAAGGAATTTCCTATTCAAAAGGAAGCTGATGCACCACCTCCAGCAACCTACTCCAATAAAAAAAAATGGCAGGTGCTCTTCTGCTGAATATCCTCCAGACCAAGGCAAAAAAGGGTAAATGTTCAATCTTAATGTATAGAATGATCATTTTATGATGGTATATCATTAATGTTCAATTTCAATATATTAGGTGGGAAAAAGAAAAACTCTAGAAGAAGTGAAGAAAACTTCTAAGGTTGCTGGCAAAAGAAAAGCAGGTATATAATGATATATTATAAAATGTTCAATTTCTATATATAGAATGATCATTTTGAGAAAACAATTTTGTTCATTTTTATCATTTGCTTACTGTACATTTTCAATACTTAAACAAAATTATATATTTAATTTTCAGATGTCAGTCCTGCCAAGAGAAATGCTGGAAAGAGAAAAAAATACAAGAAGTACCATCAGATGAACCCTCTCAAGATCCTACTGATGAAAGTTCTACTGACAGTGATGATGATAGTGAAGAGTCAGTTTATAGAGCAGAAGAAGAGCCTGTCAGTGAGGATGATTATGAGGTGGAGGAAGAGGAGGAAGAGGAAGAAGTAAAGCCAAGGAAGAAACAGGCAAAGAAAGGGAATTCAGTGAAGGCAAAGGTTGAAAAGGAGGAGCAAAAGATGGTACTGTATGATGAAGGAAAGATTGAAGGAGAAAAAAAAGAAAATGAAAACTGAAATGGTTCAAGCAATAGAAACTGATGAAGTTGAGGAAATTCAGGAAGATGAATTTGAGGAAGAGAAATCTTCAAAGAGAGGAGGACATGTGAAGTTCATTGCATGGATAAAAAAGATGACACCTACCCAAAAACAACAAATTATTGATATAGGGTTAGGATCACTTCTTGACATTAGTTTTACCTCAACTTTGATCAAAAGTTCTGTAACTGGTTATTGGGAAGTTTTGAAGAAAATAGCCAGTGTTTTGAACTACCAAAGAATGAAAAAATAGAAATTGAGGTAGAGGATGTTAGGGTAGTTTATGGCTTGCCTACAGGAGAAATTCCAATTGTTGAGCCAAAGTCTGATAAAATTAGTGAGGAGTATGCAGAATTTCTGAAGAAATGGAGAAAATCATGGTCAGGAAAAACTCCATCAGTGAGTCAGGTATGATCAGTTTTAAATGTTCATTTTAAATACATTAAATGATCAAAAGTATAAATGTTTTGTTCATTTTGTTTGCAGATTGTGAATGGATACATAAATGATAAATTCACCAACAACAGACCACCAAGTGAACATTTCATTACTAACTTTTTAGCAGTGGCTGTGAACTGCTTGATGAAATGTGTATCAAACAATCAATGCCATTTCAAATTTCTTTATTCTATGATGGACAAAGAAAACATAAAAAATTTGAACTGGTGTCAGTTTGTATATGACTCACTTATCAAATGTCATGTTTGATTGGAGAAAGCAGCAAGGCAAGGGGTTCTACAAAGGCCCTCTTCAATTTCTGATGGTATATTCTTAGATACAAGATGTTCATTTAAATTTAAATAAATGCACTTTTTTTATTGTTTATGTTCTGTTCCATGTTTCTTTTTTTCTTGTAGTTGTTCTATTTTGATAGAGTTCAGAGGTTAGACAAAAGGCCTCCAAGAAAATTCCTATCATATCTGCATGGAATAGAGACATGGTTCTTGAGAGGTTGAAGATTGAATTAGAATTGGGATTTGGGAGAGGGAAAATTCTACCAAGGATTGCTGCAGAAGTTGAAGAAAGTCCTAAGGTTATAAAATGATCACTTTTGTTAACATAAATGTTCATTTGTATAATCTGAAATGTTCAACTGCATAATTTTTAATATTCATTCATATAGGTTTTTATGGATGATTTTGTTTCCCTGGTAAAAACAACTTGTTCAAACCTGTCAAAGCTTTCTTCAAAATTGGTGAAGGCAAAGGATATCTTCCCTGGAAATGACTTGGTGAAAAAAGTTGATGAAGTTTTAGGAAAGGTGGTAGCTAGGGAACCATCAATTCTAAGCCAAGATGAAGAATTCTTTGGCAGTGAGGATTTCCTAAATGCACTTGCACAAGCTGAGAAGAATCTGATGCAAGGGTCTGAAAAGCAAACAACTGAGAAGCAAATGACTGGGAAGAAATTAACCAAAAAGGGAAAGGAAAAAGAACAAGAATATGACATCAGAAAAGCTTTCAGCTTGGGGTTGACTCCACCTTCTCCAGCCATTGGTAAATTCTAACTAAAAGAGACTATATATCCTAATTTTTATATGAAAAATTCTAAATTTGTGGTCTAAATTGTCCTAAACAGAAACAGGGCCCACCTTTTCAACACTTGGTGATATAATTGAACAACCAATAATTTCAACAAATGGTAATATGTTCATATATTTAATAATAATGTACATAAACTTAAGTAGAAATGTTCATTTCTAATTATTATGTGTAAATACTATTAACTTAGTGTATCTCCAAAATGATGATTTATAATACAGCTGGAGAAAAGGATGTGGGTAAAACTTCAGCAGCTTCAGAACAAAGAATTGAAGAATTTTCTAGAACTGGTATAATGTTCAATTAAAAAGTGTAAAATGTTCATTTACAAACAAGAAATATTCATTATTAATTGTATTATTTTGTTAGACGCAGCAACTGGTTCAAAATTTGATGCTGACACTAGGTCAGATAATGAAGGATTGCCTAGAACAGGTATAATGTTCAATTATAAATACTCAAATGTTCATTTACAAAGAAATTATATTATATCTAATTAAATTTTTTCTTAGATGCAGGATCTGGTTCAGTGGTTGATGCTGACCCTAGGTCAGATGGTGGTGAAAAAAGTGATGATCCAAAAAACACAGTTGGAGGTGGAAAACAAAACAAGGAAGATGTTTTTGAAAAACAAAAAAATGATGAAAAAGTGGAGGGGTAAAATCCTGAAGACATGTCTTACTATTAGGGTTATGTAATGGTGTAGGATAAAATATCTAGATGGAACAATTTAACTTATGTTACTATCGTGTTGTAACTTGAAACTGGTGTTTCTCAAACTATTGTATGTGTGAACATTATTTTGTTGAATATGTAATATGAATGTATGGTTTATGTTAAATCAATAGGTTTATGTTAAATCAATATCTTTCATTTTATGAATTGAAAATGATTCAGGGTGTTACATAAGAAGCTTTTATTTTATTAATATGTACTGACATTGTTTCACTTTTCAGTGAAAACAAGAAGATTGTTGCTTCATCCTCAAAGTCACAAAAAGGTACATTATTTATATTAAGTAAATGTTCAAAAATAATAATGAACATTTTCATATACCTAAATGTACATTTGTGTTATGTAATATGACCAGGAATGATGATAAGAAAAAGTCAATTGCAGAAAAGAAGAAAAAACTGAAAAGGAAAAGGTTGAAAGGTATAATTTCAAATTTATTTATATACACTCAAATGTTCATTTATGTTCCTCATAATTTTCTTAATTTAACAATATTTTATATTGAACAACAAGACCAAAACGCGAAAAGAAAACAATTCCTCCTGCTTTCCGATCTCCTTACTTGGTCAAGTACAAGGATCTGTTTAAAGATGAGAAAGCCATGAACCAAATTGCAGTAGACTTTGCTCTTGGTGGAAAAGATGAAAGGTAATTACTTACACTAATTAAACTTAAGGTTTAATATCTTTTATAAAAATATGTTCACATTCATATTATTAAATGTTCATAATGCAGTGCACTCTTATACTATGATGGCTTGAATCTCATCAATAGAAATGAAATGAAAACTCTTGGAGATGATGTTGAAGTGACAAATTGTGTCATAGATGGATGGGCAAGGTTTCTTAATCATAAAAAGCCGAGAAACAAGATTTATTTCTCAACAGTGCTTCATGTTAGTCTTTCTTCTTTTTTTATATTATTGATTCTATTTTCCTATGATAAATAATTGCTAAAAATTCATTTAACTTCTATATGTTTGTTTGTATTTCAACAACACATTATGTGCACAAATAGAGTTTGTCAAGAAGGATCATCAATGAAGACAAGAATTAATGCCTTCATAGAAAGAATTGACAATGAACTGAAGTTGAATAAAATTGACAGCATTGTTGGATATAAACAGGTATTAATTCTTGTTAATACAAATGTTCAATTACCTTCAATATATTGTCCAATAACATTATATAATTTGTTCAGGTCTTCTTCCCAGTATCAACTTCTCAACATTTTTTTCTGTTGTGCGTCAATCATATAGAAGACAAAATTCATATAATTGACAATAGAAAACTAC